CAGTTATAACATTATCATGACTAGAATTACCCCCAATTTGCTTTCCCTCACCCTGTCCACTCTCAGACCTAACTGGTTCAGGATCTACATTTGTGTTTTTGGCACTACTCTGAGTACCAATGTTATTACTAATGGGACTAAGAGGCTCACTGGATGAGAAAAATGAAGAGGCTCTAAGCCATTCCCCATATTGCCCCAAATTCACCACTTTCCTACATATATCTTCAGATTTGAGAAGGCAATTCTTTTCAGCATGACCTATTTTCCCATAATAAAAATAGAAGGTCTGAAGATTCTCATACCGGAAGTCCACCCAATTGGACTCGGAGCCTGCTCTGATGTGGGAACCTCTCATTATTGGTTCGTTGACATTAATCTCCACCAGGATCTTTAGCAATTGCCCTAATTGGCCATTGACTCCAGGGAGTTGAACATCCACATAATTTCCAATTATGCTTCCAATCTTCATGCCTGTATCATAAGAAATCGAATGCAGAGGCAAATTCCAAACATCAACCCATAGTTTAATGATTTTCTCATCAGAGGTAAACTTGTTGGACACAAGGTTCCATGGTTGAAGGATTATATACTGACCATCAAAGGTCCAAGACTTTTGTCTTAAAATTTTAAGCTTATCCTTATCACATTGAAATAGGAATTGGAATCTATTATTACCCAGATTTCTAACCGAGAATGGCTTCTTAGTAATCCAGATGTTGCTAAGGGTTGTTTTTAGGCCACTAAAGTTGATCTTGTTTTTACCAAAAAACTAACCCTATTAAGCTCAGCTCACAATCCTTAAGGCTAGGGGCTATATTTTGCACAAATAAGTCTGCCCCCCTAACCTCCCTATCAGAAAGCCTAAATTTGGAGAGCTTACCGGAAATCTCCTGAGCCATAATGCAATTAAGACTAACCCTATCCTGAAAGAAAATCTAATCCCCCACCACCCTAACTCCCAACCTACAAAGATAATGCAACTAATCGCAAGAAAGCAATCAAATAAAAATAGCAATCAAAAGCAATCAAAACAATATAGCTAGAAGCAAGACAAGCAGCCACCACAGAGTTAAAACGGTCCATCTTACTAAGAATACGCAAACAATCCAAACAAAGCCAATAAAATAAACAAAAAAAAAAGAGGAGAACCCCCAAATCCCTTGCGGGAAAACGGAGCCAAGGAAAAGGGGACCAATCAGAAAGACTCACAGCAGAGAGAAACCTAAAGAAAACCTAACGCTATCAAAGAGACTCAGGAAGGTCAAAGGAACGATCCAATTCATGGACCTCAGATCTCCAAAGAAAACAAACCCTAGCACAAGGCTAACTTTTTTAGGGACTCCTTCACGTTAGGATGAGATAGAATCTCACGGGACCAATCTCTCGTTTTGATCGAGTTGTGATGATCATTTTATTGTAATTGTGATGTATCCTTGTGTGTCACTCCCTTCAAAAAAAATAAAAAATAAAAAATAAAAAATTAATGAGATTGATTTTAGTGGCTGTGTAGAATCTAATTTTCTACTTTAACAATGAGGTTAAGACATCAATTTATAGGAGCATGTGAATTGTTACCGTTTAAAACATTATAACAAATTTAATTTGGCACCATTAAAGAAAAATGGACGCTGGGAAAGATGTGAATGCTTGTAATTTATTGCCTTCAATATTGCTTGACAAAAAAAGTTATAGCCAACCTTATTATTATATAATTATTTTCACTCATTAAATAAAAATATATATCCAACAAAAACAGTGTCAATTCCCTCCTTGCTTTAACATAAACATAGAATAACAAATGACATATAAAAATAATTCATGTTTGTATTGTAGGAACCCCTGATTTGTGTGAAACTTTTATATTTAGCAAAAAGGTTCTTATGTTGGTCAAGTCATATTAGAATCACACATCTGTGGAAGACAAATTGCCCTGCATCCATCTCCTCAGCATCTCCAATGAAAATTCGGGCTGATCCATGGGCACCATATGCCCCGCATTGTAAAACTTGAGGAATGTTAGCGGCCCATACCCCTTTTGCAGCCCGACATCCACTCCACCCACTCTAAATGTGCTTGCGTTTGTGGCCACAAAATTGTCCTGCCCAGACCATTCCATCGCGTGAACCCACCTCCAATTCCCTGCCCAAACATTTGAATTCAAATATCTTTGATTTGCTTTAACTTATGGTGTTTAGATTTGAAGTTGTCTCAAGATTGAATTCAGGCTCCAAAGGTTAACAAAACTCGAAACCAGAAAAACAGAAGCATTTGTACCGAGCCAATTGCATATGAGATCATATTCCCCGGCATATGCGAGAAATTTGATCCCGTCCTCCAAAAGTGCAGGAATTCCAACCTCCATATTTCTCATCTGATCATCGGTCATAGCATCGTAAACATCCGTGCTGCAAGACACGAAAGAAATATTCCCCACACCAAGGGATCTTTTCACTGGCATTGAGTTCAGAAATTTCTCCATGTTGGAAAAGTCGTAGCAAAGGTCGTTTGTCCCGCATTGCTTTCTTATGTCATAGTACTGCACGTGAAAGATATTTAAAAAAAAAAAAAACAAATGCATCATATAGTTAAAGTTAAACAGATTTTCCATTTGTTAAAAGAAATATTTTTTTTTCTTACATTTACACCTTTGGCAATGTCCACTATATTGTTGAAGACATCGTTGCATACACTGAACGCCCATCGACAATAAGAACCACCGTCAACTCCTAAGAACACAAAAATTAAATTAAAAACTAATGCAAGACAAATAAAAGCATGATTAAATTCCAGCTACTAATTTACCACAGAGCTTGATTTCTTCCTGACATTCAAAAACCGACTGAGTCATGCTGTCGTAATCAGATTTTGTGATCAGGCTCATGTTCAGAGCATAATCAGCGTATGCCCCATATTGTATCTCAGGATTTGTTAGTCCATTGCCGATTGCAAACCCCTTAATCAAACGAGGAACATATTACATACAAATTAAAAAAAAAAAAATAGAAAAGGTCAAATGAAATTCCTTTCAGACATCAAATAAAAAAATATGTTGAACACCTTTAGATTAATTTGAATTCCTTCATTGTTTTTGTTCCCTTGATGAACCCGTGCGGCAAGAGCTGGAATGTAATGCCCGGCATATGATTCTCCAGTAATGTAAAAATCGTTCCCTGCCAACTGAGGATGCGCCTTGAAGAAAGCCTGGCATTTTATGTATAATTATGAATCTCATCACTACATGTTACAAGTGGACAACTGATGTAACAAAATTTGAGTTGATGCAACAAATACAAACCTGCAAGAAGTCATATAAATCAGTGCTTACACCTTTCTCGTCATGCCTAGTGTCGTCCAAATCAGAACTGTAGCTGAAACCCGTCCCAGTCGGTTGGTCCACATATATTATATTTGATACCTATTCAATAGCTTTAATCAACACACATGCACCATATTGATGGAGACAAACTCGTGATGGATTTTCTGGACAAATACGATCGGCCCCCGGCATTGATTTGATTAGTCATGTTGCATTTATTATTATTATTATTATTATTATTATTATTATTATTATTATTATTATTATTATTATTATTATTATTATTATTATTATTATTATTATTATTATTATTATTATTATTATAATTATTATTATTATTATTATTATTTATCTTAATTAGTTGATTAGGAAAATACTTATTTATTTGCTTATCAAGATAGTGATTTAGGAAATCTTGGACTTTATTTATTCTCATTGGGATAAGAACAGACGATCGGTTGTGATTTGAGAAATAAGAAATCTATTCTTGCGTGTTTTCAAGAGAGAGTATCTCTTTATCCCTTTCTCACTCACGTTCTACATCAGTTGGTATTAGAGACCAGCAACGATCTACTATTCCGCCAAAGAAAGGGAATGATGTAAACAAAGTCATCATCAATGATTGATTCCAACGAATGCTTCAAGGGATGGACGATCGATTTGTGGATGTTTCCACGGAAATTGAGAAATTACGTCTGGCTATGCGTACCTTGGTGGAAAAAGTGCATAAAAATGCATAGGAACCGCGACGTCGGCAACCGGGGAATGCGCGGAGGGTTTCGCGGTGGACGGGGTGGGCGTGGCTATGGCGGGGCGCCCCGCCCGCGTTCACTTCAGACACCGCCCAACGGCGGCGATACCGAGGACACCATCACCGTGGACAATCCGTTCGCGGATGGATGACGACACCATGCTGCGGGTGACGGGTTCTTCGCGCCGGAAGACCATGGCGGGCTACGCGGTGAACGCAGCTTCGCTAACGGAGACAACAGGCACCGCGATCGAGGGTTCTTTCACGAAGAAGCAGATCTGGATGAGGAAGATGACTGGTGGTACATGGATGGTGAGCAATGGAGGTGCGACGTGCTGGACTTAGGTCCCTATGGACAGCGGCGCCGCGACGGGCTGCACCAGCGGGAAAGGCTGGAATTTGCACCTGACGATCAGCACCCCCTCGGATGGTTCGACCAATGCGTTGGACAAGGCCACGAGCCGAACCAACATGATCTGCACAGGGTGGACGGCGGCAATGACTCACGTGGGGACCTCGGGTTTCGGGTTGAGATTCCTGTGTTTTTGGGAGGAACGGATGCAGCGGAGTTCCTCGATCGATGGGCTGCAGTTGAGTCCATCCTTAAATTTAAGAAGGTCCCAAACGAAAGACGTGTCGCGCTTGTTGCCACGCGGTTCCGTGGACGAGCGGCAGCATGGAGGATGCAACTCACAACTTTGCGGCATCGCCAGGGGAAACCCGAAATCTCCACTTGGATGCAGTTCCGTAAGTACGTAGAATGTGAATTTCTACCTTTTAATTATGATCATGTGGTTTATCTGTAGTTATATAATTTTCGACAAGGGCCGCGTTCGGTTCACGAGTATATAGAGGACTTTTATCGCCTCTTAACTTGTGTGGAGATATGTGAGACAATAGGTCAATTAGTTGCCCATTATGTGAGAGGTTTAAATGTTGCTATCCAAGATGTTCTTAATCTAGTTGTTTCGAAGTCTGTTTCGGATGCACTCAACGAGCTCTCGTTGTTGAGAAATAGTTGGCTCGAAAGATAGGTCCGTCCATTGCGTCGTCTTCATGTTCGGATATGGGGATGGGTGTTACAAGTGCGGGTTTGCAGTTTGGGCGTGGAACACCTGCTACGGGCATGTACTCGAGCTCAGCACCAGCAATGGGGCGCGGAGCTTGGGCCAGCGGTGGGGTGTCGCGGTCGAACGACGAACTGGGTCGGCGTCAACCATGGGTATGCAGCGGGGTGGTGGCAGAATACGGTGCTTCAGCTGCGGTGAGCTTCGCCATCTGTAGGCGGCTTATCCAAGATGGGTCGGGTCATGTGCTTTGTTTGCTGAGAAAACAACAGAATATTCGGCAGCCGCAGTATATGATGGCCCTCCTATTTTTGACAAGGAGTCGGAGGTTCCGGTGGAGCATGTCTCGGGGGATGTGGGTCACGCACTTGTCCTTCATCGATCTCTGTTGTCTCCCCATATTTCTTCTGATAATGACAGTCAGCGGCGACACCTTTTTGAGTCTACTTGCACCATTGGCAGTCGAGTGTGTCGTTTCTTTATCGATTTCGGCTCCTGCGAGAACGTGATTTCAGTTGAAGCTGTTCGAAAATTGGAATTGGTGAGTGAGCCGCATTCGAATCCCTACTGTCTCGTGTGGATACAGCGTGACAACGCTGTCTCTATTACACGTCGTGTACTGGTTTCTTTTTCTATCGGCTCTTCATATAAGGATACGATGTGGTGTGACATTGTACCAATGGATGCGTGGCACCTTTTGTTAGGGCATCCTTGGCAGTTTGATCGAGCTGTGGTGCATGATGGGCGCCTTAACACGTACGAGTTTGCATTTGACGGTGTTCGCTTGGTTTTGCATCCTGCAGCTCCCCATTCAATGCTTGTATCCCCACCGGCGACCTTATTTCTTTCCCGTACCGGGGCATGCGAAGAGGTGTGTGGTCCATTGAAAGATCGTTCGATGGTGTATGATGTGGGCGACTTTGTGTGGGTTGTTTCCCTGGTGGACGGATGAATGGGCCCTTACGAGGTTAGCGATTGGCTTCCTCCAGATGGATACCGTCTTCGCTTGCCCTCTCATGCTCGTTTGTCGGATGTTTTTCATGTGGCGCAGTTGGCGCCTTTGCATGCCAACGATTCCGACGGAGACGAGCTCAGTCCGGATTCGTGGACGAATCCTTCTCAACCGGGCGAAGATGATGGAGACGAGCTCCCGATGGATTTTCTATACAAATACGATCGGCTTCCGGCGTTGATTTGATTAGTCACATTGCATTATTATTATTTATCTTTATTACTTATTTATCTTAATTAGTTGATTAGAGAAATATTTATTTACTTGTTTATCAAGATAGAGATTTAGGAAATCTGGACTTTATTTATTCTCATTTGGATGAGAACAGACGATCGGTTATGATTTGATAAATAAGAAGTCTGTTCTTGCTTGTTTTCAAGAGAGTATCTCTTTATCCCTTTCGTCACTCACGTTCTACATCACATATGTAACACCTTATATGATAAATCAAATGTAACGGTTATTTCATATAGAAAATGTACCTTATCCCATCCGAACTCATTTGACACAAGGGTCAAATTGTCCGTCACGTGAAAGGGTCCATTTTCATAGAACAAAGCCAATCCACTGCTGCAACCGGGTCCTCCAGTTAGCCATATAACCACCGGATCACTCTTGTTGCTTCTCGACTCAAAGAAAAAATAGAACATCCTGCACACGACCATTACATCAGGAAGCAGGCCAATATGTATTTACTTACAACCAATATATATAAAAGAAACAAGGGAAAGGAAAAGGAAGAAGAAAATTAAAAAAAAAATAGAAAAATATACAGATCCTGATGCCTCAAGTTGCATATATATGCATTTAATACACTGCAGAAAAGAATTGCAAGTATAGACAAAATGTATCTAAAATTGATGCATAAATTATTGATGCATATACCATACCTGGCAGCTTTGCTGTGCGGGAGGCTGTAATAACCAGCATGGTGGCCCAGGTCCTGAATAGGATTATTAGCCTCCATGAATGGGAACTTAAATCGCTTTTCGACAATCCCTGATACTGACGCATCATTTGATTCGGGCCGATGGCGGTTCACTTCATGCTCAGGGAACAAGTTGAGGGACCTTATGAGTTTCTCGGCCTGCCTTTTCGGATACGAAGAGATTTCGCCATTGTTTAAATCGGAAAACGAAAGAGTCGAAGAAATGAGAAATGCGTATAGAAACAAGAGGGCGACGACGAGAGGTGACGTCATCATTTTTGTTTGTAGTCAGAGTGGGAGTGGGAGTGGGAGTGAGAGTGGCAGTTTTCATTCCCTCATGTTTATACTCATCATTTTTGTATGCGCGCATTGATTTGTGGGGATGAGAGAAAGGCATGGGGGGGCTTAATTGTTTTTTAAAAAAAATTATTTTCATTTTTTTTGTTAGAAATATTTGATTAGTTGGTTTTTGAAAAACTAGTACGTATGTATATATTGCGATGCACGGTACAATAATTATAAATTATATGTATTAAATGAATGGAAAAACGTTAATTAGTAAAAAAATAGTTTTGAATACTAATAATATTTTTTTTCATTTATTTTTTTATGGTTTATATTTTTGTTGCAGTCGTTATAAAATAGTTGTCATTTTAAAATTCCTATTTATAATTAAAGATAATAATAATTTAACATATTCAAACATTGTCAATAATAATATCCACATAAAAAAAAAGTATGAGGAAGAAAGGCTTAGGGTTTATTGTCAATTGTTAGGGATTGTTTTTAATACATCCAATTAAGATGTATGACTTAGGAGGTATTGCTTTGAAAAAAAACAAGAAAAGTAGGAAGCATGCTTTGAAAAAAAAAAAAAAAAA